TTTCGCATTACCATGAGATCAAGGACGAATCAAAAGCAGTTAGCTAACTCACTTTAATTGGATCGGACCGGGTGATTTATCGGATCTGGAAGATACCACTGAGCACTAAACTCTCTTGTGGTTCACTCGCATGTTTATCCGGGAAATCTGGATCCAAAGGCAAATGGAAAGGATAAATCACAGGCGCATTCCTCACTGAATCATTTGCGTATCTGGTGCTGAAGTGCAAATCCTTTTTTCACTCTTAGCATATGACGAAAAATAAGTCAAAGTTGATACAGTTATCTCACGATTAACTAAACCGACGATTAAAAAAATATCATTTGGTCAGGTTGAACGCGTCACATTTGAATGATCAGAAAATGCAAAGAATCGGATATTCAAACTCAATAAAGCTAATTTTGAAAAAAATAATGCACGGTGCGTTTTCTTTGAACCGCATTAGTGGAGTGAAAAATTGGGCTCAAGAAGAAGCCAATGTCCTGATGAGAACAATTCAAGTGTCCAAACCAGATCACCGAAAGGTCGAAAGAAATGGTTCCTTTTCCTCGCTTTAGGCATAAATGATTCACAATGTTCTACTGGGTAATGTTTTTATGACCTTCCAAATCAACTGGTATGAATAGTGCGTCAAACTGAAAGCGGAAGTGTAATGGACTGAATATTGACCAGCCAATGCCTCGCCGTCACGATTCCCGTCCATAGCGCTACGTCTGGTTAGATACTGATAAAATGTGACACTAAACTTGAAATAAAAGGTTCTACTACAAGACTGGTAAGAGGCTACATCTCTCCTTACGCTCGCGAACGGAAATCGTCGATCGTTTTACTTATCTCGGGAGTTGTTTCAGCTCTAGAGAATTGACGGAAGAAATATCAGAGCGTATCCGCAAGGCTCGAGTGGCTTTCGCTAACCTACGTCAGTTGTGGCTCCGATGAGATTTCAGTCTCTCCTCGAAAGGCCAGGTTTACAATGCCACAACACGCTCTGTCCTACTCTACGGCTGTGAACGNTGAACGTTGGCCCCTTCACACAAAAGACTTACGGAGATTAAGTGTCTGTGAACATCGTTGTCTTCGTTGCATCGCAAGAATACGTTAGCAGCAGCGAATCGCCAAGGACAAAGTTCGCCGAAGAATCTTCACCGCAGATAATTTCAGTCGTTCTCAGAGTGCCATTATCTTGGTCCAGAGACATCGATGGCTAGGAAATATGTTGCGTATCCCGGCTCATCGATTACCCCATCGTGTTATGTTTGCTCAACCATACACTAATTGGAAGCGGCGACAAGGTGGACAACGAATAACCTGAGCCCTAACAATAAAGGCACTAACCTCAAAACTGGCAGTGGTAGGACTCTCTAGACTCCAAGTTTGGGGTCCAAAGGACAGAGAACACCTATCGCTCCAGACAATTGCAGACATGATTGGTAACCGGCGTCAATGGCGTACCTGTTACGAGACTCTTATACGTTGAATCATATTTAAACCGTTTTCTCTTTTCTCTTTCTTCATATGTTGTAGCACATCTGTGAATTCTGTCTAATTAGTTAAGTGTTATATATATATATATATATATATATATATATTGAAGGTATCCATTCAATGCCAGTTAAATGGCAAAATATGATGTAATAGGTCACCCGAATCTGCTAAATTCTTCCAAAAAAATAAAGGGAGCAGAATAATGATTAAATAATCTCTTTGGTAAATAATCATTGGTGCAGATAACTGTCCTGAAGAGAGATGTAAGCCACCCATGGTGTCCTGGGACGGTACTGTGAGGACGTTAGGGTTCCTTAGACAGACTTGAATGCACGACTTTCGATTTGATGTGGCAGTGAGGCCTATATCAGTTGGAGGGAATCAAATATAAAAGTACTATGTCAGAAAGCAAGACCTGGATTTGGACATTCCCATGAGAAGCGTTCCACGAAACCCAATAATACTTTAATCCTTACATGGACAAAAATAAGAATAATCAATAGAGACGTTTCCTATTTTGTTGTTCTATTGGCGCAATTGGAGTGTATTTGGAAGAGGGTTCAAAGTAGGGAAATATTCTAGCTCCCCAAATCGCACATTAGATCATAGACTGACACGTTTTATCTGAAGGCCGTCAGCAGTTGTGTGTGTATTTAAACTTGATTAGAGCAACAGAACAGAAGATCTCTTTAATCAAGTAATTTCGAATCAAGCCACTTTAAGATGCCCCGGTATGAGTTCGTTATTCACGCGGCATCAGGACACTTTTCGTTAACGATGGTAAATCTCGCATTTCTTTAAATAAAACAATGATGAACTTGATTAATTGGGTACATTTACAGCTATCGGTGTTCCGGTTATCAAATCTGCTCGAATGCACAAACTTACGAGGCAGTTGGAATTCGAATTTCAAGAAGTTCCAGGGGCCACAGAATATAAGGTCATTGTTTTCGGGAGAACCGCTGTGCTTCACACAACCGTGACGACCAGGAGAACCGGAACGATTTCTGGGGTGTCTTGTACCCATTGCAATTTGGCAGTACGAGCGGCGGTTGGTACGCGTAAAGGCAGATTCTCGAGTGAAGTTACCATAACAGGTAAGTGAAGACAAGTTCATTTTTTTTGGGTGGGGAGGGGTTAATCCATTGCTGTCAAGGGTGCATGATCTACACATGTAATATAAAATTTTATAGTTCTGAGTTCGTGTGCTATAAGCGCGCATGCATTTGTTACCCGTTACCTGTGATCCCAATAGGTATGGTTTCGGAGATAGAATATTTGCTATGAACAACCACTATCGGACTGAGAGGAAACAAGTCTTGTCCAAAGCCAGCTAGGATCGAGAACGGAGTTTGGTGAGTAAGGAATTTCGAATGATTATCAATGTAATCAACTCATCTGCACTGTTGATGAGACCCAGTCAGATGAGAGCAGCTGAACAACTCCCTAGCTTTTCATTTCAAGCTATACTTTCTCTGTCCATAACCAAATTCACTATCTTATCCTTGAGCACTCTCATGTGATATACGGCACAATCAGGAGGAGCTTCTTCAATGCCGATTCCGGTTGGCTTAATAATAGGCTACAAAATAATATGTAAATAATATGAAGATAAATAGACTGTGTTTTCAATAGGCGACACCCCTTGCAAGTGTGTCCGTGTGAAACACCCTTTGAAGTGTCCGACTGAATAAGTATGCCGAATCTAGGTGTGGAATGGAACCATCGACAGACGGGGTGTTCTTCGTGGAGAGAGGGTTGAGTAACAATCTGAAAGAAAGGAAAATGCAGACACTATGAACCAAGTGGTCCAGTGAGAAATGGACGACTCACAATCCAACGGAATGGCAAGTTGCCATGGTCTTTACAGAACAACAACAAGAATGCCAGGCATGACTCATGGTTTGCTGTCTTGCCCTCTACTATTTTTCAACCAACTGATCTCAAGATCATACGGAGCCCAGCTCAAAACAACAGACAGAGATATTCATTACCTATTTTTCCGTTCAATCTTGTTTCCTTGTAATCCGTTGAAGTGCTTAGCAGATTTTCCACCGTGGAGTGAAAACTTGAGCAGGGTTATCCTCGATAAAATTTCTCTCATCGGTAAGCAGGCTGTTCCAACACATTGTAAACGCAGGTCTTTACAGGGCATTTGAAACATTGAAAAATGTATACAGATAAATCTAACTCCGAAACACCGAATAGCTTTTGTTTCTAAATTTCAATCATATATATACACATATCATGTGAGTAATGGAGGATTTGATTCAATTTCAAAGGTGAAATTAGTCGTGTATATACAAAATGAAGCGGGAAATGAAAAGCTAGGATGCACGGGACAGCTGTTTCGACCTGGTTGGGTCTCATCAACGGTGCGAATCCATGAGGCCCCGGGTTCGATCCTCCGTTGGGTCGATGGATTTGCACTGCTGATGAAACCCAGCCAGGTCGAAAGAGCTGTCCAGTGCTCCCTAGCTTTTCAGTTCACGCTTCATTTGCCATATAAACGAAGAATTTCAATTTTGCAATGTATATATTGTCATCATCATGCAATGAAAATAATCAACTCACTGGGAGCAGTGAAAACAATCGCGCCAGTGATTAATGGAGTCTAAGAATAGCGTTCATGAGATGCACTTTCAGGTGGTCAGTTCACTGATGTCCATTCAATTGCTTTAGCGAAGAGAATGCTTATCCTCTTCAGTTTACCGTGACGTATAGTTATTCCATTTTCTCTTTTTTGATGTATGAGAGGAGACTGGCAATATGAATGTAGAATGCAGAAGCAGTTCGCATTTCGGCTATCTGAGTCAAAGTAAAGGCTAATCCATAGAAACGCAATTGGGCGCTGCATTGTTACATGTTTTACGCGGATTCTGGTGACTACTGGTTCATCACTATACTTTCAATGAGGATTTTCTTGCTTTAATCCATCCGCAAAAGGAATGTGTCACCTTACTCACGCGACCTCAATGCCACCTGAGAGCGATCCCTTAAAAAATTCAGGGCAGAATAATAAAGTACGATTCGAAGGAGTTCATCCAATCGTGAACGGCTAAATAAAGCTTAATATAATGGTAAATACAATTTCCCGGTGGCGACAATGTTTCAGAGGACCATTTCATTTTATGAACAACTATAATCACTCATCGATCGTTCCAATCCGCTTTTAATGAGTTCATTAGTTCCCCCCTCGTTCCTCCCGTCATTCATTTTGAACTAAAGTTAGTCCGGCACAAATTAAACACAGTAATTTTGAAATAGAAATGATAATGGTTGTGGAACAGAAAATTTGATTAGCTGAACAGCAAATGATTCCAGCTAATTTGTTTTTGCCAATTCGTTTTTAGCGGTCCAAAACATCATTTTATCAAAATTCACCTTTTTGCTCTCTTGTTAAAACAATACCATCTAGTACTGGATATAAGATCAGCACTAGTTGTTGATGCATTTTATGATGAAAGAAAATTGTTCGCCGAATTCGATTATACGACTGGATTAATAAAAATCAGGACGAGCCGCGGCGAGGAGGAAATTTCTGTGATTGGAAGGCATCTGGTCAGGGATTTCCGGGAAAGACCGATCGAAATAAGCACTGGGTACGGGCCGTGGTTTGTGGTCAGGAAGATCGGTAAGTGGCTATAACTTTTAATGCTGGACACGTTTTCAGTTTCAATTGTACCCAAATGGATTTTGCCGCTAAGCGACAACGACAGTTTACCACTGTGCTAGAAACTATCGATTGTCATTTCACTAAATTACCGCCCCGGAGGACTTGTGTTCGAACCCCATCACCACTACCTCTACCGCCACAAACAACAACCACAACATCAACCCACTACTGCCCAAACCCTGTGATGTATACAAGCTCTTTGACTGACAGCTTCCTCGCTTCCGGAAAATCGGATGACGATATATTGAAAAGAAAAATAAGAGATGCCGATGAAAAGAACTATTTACCTTGTATCACAAACCGACGGATTTAATTCCACTAAGCAGCTATTCAGTGTTGCTTTGTTAGCTCATTTATAGTAATACAATTCCCGGCTCGATTATACGTATCGATGATGGGTATTCAAACCTTAGTGATAAAAAGCAACTGTAAACGAGATGAGTTTCTAGTTCATTTTCTATGCCATAAATTCGCCCGAGTACTTTGTCCATTTCATCATTTTTATCGGAATGGCACGATAGTCGAATGTTTTCGCAGTTGAACCGAATATCACCCGGCGAATTTCATGAACAAATTATGTGTGCTTCATGTAATCACAAAAATACCCACCAGTATACACAATCTCCCGGCCAAGCAAACACTGTGCAACTGTCTACAATGAACCTTTTGCTCAACAGAACAGCTTGATTGTGTAGATGGTCAATGTTTGACTAGCCCATTTTGTTTTTCACAGGCATTGAGCACTGTTGATGATGTTACGCTGACCCAAAAATTCGCCATCTAAATTGATTGAGCATTTCATTTATGCAATTTGTTCGAAATCCTAGGGTATAGTCTTCGCATAAAAGATTCTTGCGGCGAACGACTATCAGCCTAGCGGGATACGATCCGCCGCGATAAATTCAATTGAGCTGAAGCGTTCACAATGTTCTCTGGCGAAAACAAATGACTCCGTGGATAGGGTATTTAGTTACCTGAACATGCTGAATTTGCTTTGCATTGACTGCATACACTCGGAAAACCAGGACTCAACTTTGTCCATCATTGTTGTGTTCCAAATTAAGTAGGAAGATGAGCACACAGCAAATTAAACAGTCTGCTATTTTTAGAGGTAATTATTTGGCCGGTTCAAAAACCGGATAACAAACAGAAACGAACGACGTGTACGAAGGCAGGCCGACATCAGGTCACACGCAGCAGTACATCCGAAGTGGAGGCGATGAAATGTTGTCTACGACTGCAGTTCTCCGTGTCAAATATCAGACTTAACAGGAAAATGAGTCCGGATCGAAACAGACCTGGGGCAAACGTGACCGGATTGTGCATTGTGTGCATTGTTTTAAAGTCTTTAGACTTCAAATGATTAAAACAGATATGGTAAAATCGCATTCTGCGGTAAACTTTGTCTGGTTCTTCAAACGTGAAAATTTCATAGAAATGAAAATGCCCCAGGTGGCAGTGGATAATAATGCCCCGTGAAGGCAAACCGATAAAGAAGTACCATTTCGGCGTGCGAGGTGATTTGAATCTTAATGTTCCAGTTGACGAAAAATGTTCAAACAGTCCCATGGAGCACATAATGAGAACAAAAATTGGAAGACAACCTCATTTTCAGTATGTCACGTTATCATGCCACTAGAACATAGTAAACTAGTAAAAGAGAAGGATTTACAAGGGAAAAGCAGAGGGAAAGTAATTAAAGTATTCAATAGTCTGTTTCATAATTGGTCCCTAATTATCGCTTGCTCCGGGATCACGGCAAAAGAGAATTTTCTCTGTTCTATGGGAGTATTGTTATTTCTTTGTTTATATATGAGAGTAAGTGTTAAGCTCTTTGTCAAATATATCTGTTGATGCTTTAAAATTTACAATAGAAATAAAATTAGCGATGAAACTCGTAGCAATCACGGCCTCCGTGAAATTTTAACCAATCGACAACAAACTCGGGGGTAGGTTGAAACAGTCCAACCACATGTACGCCCGATCACGGTTAGCGCCGTATTGCTTCCCGACCGACCGACCGAGGCTAGTTGCCGTGGTGTGCGTTCAATCTCACTTAAAGCGAAATCAGTCAACCATACAAGGCAAATATCGTGGCTTAAAACAGACTAATCAAGCGAAAGCCACTAATTGGGGCGCTTTTCGTCCGAAGATCACTTGCCCATTTGTTTTAGGCTAAGGTGCCTTGTCGCTGTCCAAAATTGTTGGCTCATCGACAAAGGTCTACTTCGTGTCTGAGCCAACCAGCCCGATCCATTGGCCAATTTAGGTGTACGATTCATTGGGTCTCTTTTGTCTGGGGCTTGGTGATCGTTTCTACTCGAGCAGGGGCAGCGACATAGAATCACGTGATTTTAGGGGTCATTTAGTTGGTCACTCAGTAGGTGCGTTCCTGCGCGTGCACTACCCGTGCCCTACGCGCACAACACTTGATGACATGCTGTGAATTGCAACCCCGACTAGACGGGAATTACTGTGCGTAGCCATTTAATAACAATCACCACCGTCCACTTTTGATTGATTGCGTGGACTACGTTCACCGTAGTGAATCTATATAGATTTTTTATCCACCTTCTACTGACTGCTGGTCTTCATTCCGTTTACTAAATTTATTCGCAGATTCTAACCGGCCAACTGTGATCAGTTGCGTTAAGTACGGACAAAATGTCCATATCACTATGATGGAGAGGACGGGACAAGAAACTTCGCTGTATGAAGGCTTCATTCACGATGGACAAAATTATCACGTGAAAGGAAAATGGTACGGCTATCACGGGAAAATACAAAATGTGAAATGTGTCCAGTGCACTCTTTACGTGCGTCAAATACAATCTACGGGAAACTCGGCCTTTAGCGATGGAAAAGCTATTGAAGTTGATCCAAGTGAGTGAAGTTGCAGAACGGGGATTCCTTAGCTTGTATGGAGTATCTCATTGATGCGGTATATCTGACTGTTTTTATGTCCGCACTGTTGGTGCATACATTTGGATGCATTAAATTCCACGTCGTTTTCAATCAACCATTGATAGGCAGCATTGAATATTCTCTGAAGTGCAAGCGAGTCCTCTGACTTTGTCCCCGTTTTCNTTTCCATATTTTTGCATTGTCTGCAAACATTAACGTTTGTGGTGCCGTTGAGTCGTTTATAAAAGCAAGGCAAAGTTGAGTGCCAATCACGGATCTCTGTGGAAAGCCTCGTGTTACGCTGATGGGATAGGAAAGTGACCCAGAAACGCGAACTGCCATGGTGCCTTGTCGTAGACATTCTTCTATCCATCCCATTACAAGTCCCCAAATTCTATAGTTGTGTAGTTTCCTCAGCAGTATTTTGTGGTTTACTCGATCGAATGCTTTCGAGAAGTCGAGATATGTTTCTATAAAGCCTATTCGATTACAAGATAGCCGAGAAGCAATTTACCGCATCAAAACGGACAAAGCACTCAATGCTAACTTCAATTCCGGTCGTTTCTTAAAACCAATCACGATGTAATTTCGTGCGCCGGTTTTGTTTGCTTAATTTTGCTTACCCATTTGACTAAAAGAGCAAGATGAAGATTGGAATGTTGAGTGCCAATTCAAGCGAAAGATAGAGAATTTATTTAGATTGAATCTACAAAAATAATGATTGGATGCATGAGCGCCACTGTGTGTGACATCCAGCCATTCCGCTCGGGGTCTCTATCCATCGGTGATCATGATCTCGGTGTCCCTAGCTAGGGAGCCGAACGGCCATGTCTCCTGGTTAGGGTTTTCATGCCCTCATACCAAGTCTTATTTGGACATCCCTTGATCTTTTTCCAACCGCTACCTGCCTCGGCAAACTTCACTCGCCGTGGCAACCTATCTGGCGCCATGCGTAGCACATGTTCCAACCAGCGTAATCTATGAAGGTCGATCACTTGTTCCAGTGGAAAACCGCGAGTACCTAAAACTCTACACCTAAACCCAGCATTCCTCGTCCGGTCATCTCGCCAAACTCGTACAATGCGACGTAGACAGCGATGTTCGAAAACCGATAATTTATTTTCATTCAGTTCCTGTAGTGGGCAAGCTTTTGCACCGTAAAGCACTGTCCGAACTACTGCAGCGTATACTCGACCCTTCACAGACAGCGGGATGTCGCGACGGCGCCACAAATTTCTGAAGTTGGCAAATGCCAGCCGAGACTTTTGTATGCGCGTCGGTACTTCATCAGTGATGCGTCTGCTAGGTGAGATTTAGCTGCCTGGATAGCAAAATTTGTCTACTCCCTCTACTACTTCCCCAGACGGGATGAGGTTGTGGGCTGGATCATCCCAATCTTGGAGTAAATCTATACCGCTATCCTCGCCCGAGGAAAGGGTTGTGTCAAGAATTAAACCTATCATGAAGTTAAATAGAAACGGAGAGAGAGAGCAACCTTGTCGAAAACCACTTTCTATAGTGAACTCGGGTGAAAATGTGCCGCAAGTTCATACTCGGTTTCGGCTATTATTGTAGGGGGATTTTTATTCTGAATTAAACTTCTGAGGCACATCCTTCAGGGAAAGGCAGCGACAGAGCTTAGAGTGGTCGAATGAGTCGAAAGTCGCTTTTAGATCAAGGAAGATGGAAATGGTGGGTCTACGAAAGGAGTATCTGTGTTCTAGGATTTGACGAAGAGTAAAGATGTGGTCGATGCAAACTCGACCAGGTCTAAAATCATTTTTGATAACTGTTAAAGAGCGAGAATGTTTGCGCAGTTTAACCAGCTGCAGAGCAACCATTCGATGCCTGAATTAATGGGGAAATAAATAGTGTTCTAAGTTAGGGACGATATAATCGGCATTGATGAAATGCACTCCTTTTGCTGTACTGTAAGAGAAGGAGCTTTTTGTAAGTGAAAAACAGAAGTTTAAAAGATATACGTCTGATCAATACTCTGGAGAGATACAGACATTTATTTGAAACTTCAGAATGTCTTTGCTGTTGATTTGTTTCATAAACGGTTTGGAGTGGGTGGACCTAAACTTCTCGGAATTCGGTTTATTTCTGTTTTTAATAAATCCGTTCTGATTGCTGACAACGAGTCACGAGCAGAACTGTTTCGTCCTCGTTTGAACACGTCATTGGTGGGTAGATGCCTTTGTCCGTGCGGGAACACAAACCATGAAAACGAGGGTTTGCAACAGAATACGTTTGATCCAAATAGTCATTATTGATCGTAAGAGGTGTTGGTCGGCGAGCAGTAGCTGCCAAAACAAAGTTTCGTTGGTTCTGAATCCTAGTATGAACACAAACTACGTGTTACTGGCAAATCTCATAGCAGGACGAAAAAGGTTTCTGAGGTGTCCCTGGTTAGTCGTCATAAGAAATCCGTGGGGAAGTTAATTTAGAGCATCTTTGTTGTTTGGTTTTGATTTGCAACGGGAAAACAGATTTTCAATTTTATACACACTTCGCGGCGCTCTACAGAGCATGGATACAGATTTATAACCGAACTACATGTATCAGGTCACGTGTAAAAGCAGTAATGAGTGCTGTCTAAATCTCGAGACCGTTGCCAATGTGAGTTAGCAGGACTAACTGATATCAGCAGCTGCCAGATGATACCAAAGGCATCAGGCTTTGCTTTCACTTGAAAAATCAATGTATAGATCTAATCGAAACTGAAGCAACGGGTCCCTATGAAACACTTGGGGTTTCGTATAGAGAGCAGCATTTATACTGAAGTAAATTTGTTTTTCCAGATAATACTAAGTAAGCGTTGGTAAGACTTTGTAAACGTTATTTTCCTGATTTGTTCATACTTAGCATATGGAAGGGTTCTGAACGCAGCGGATACTCTGAATTCGTCATTAGTGGTTGATCTAGACCATGATGAGTTCAGAGCTAACAAAAGAGAATAAAACAATTTTTATTTACAACAAATTAACACTGATAATTAAAATATAAGGTTTGTACATAATAATATTCGATTGGTCTGCCTTTGTTCTTGAGGACGTTTTCTCGTCTCTTCGGTATCAAATCCACCAAATTTGTTCTGAAGTCATTTTCTATTTTGTGCCCCATAACGTATAACATTTTCCTCTAACGTCCACTGTACATGTAGCACACTGAACTATCTCTTCAAAACAGAAAACATATTTTCAATCACATTGAGATCCGGGCTATTAGATTTACGCATCCTGTCTAGATGTACTCGCTTTGCGGCCAGCGCAAGCTGTTCTGGTTGTCGTTTTTCCATAGATTATCATGTAAACAGTGCTTTTGTTAACGTTAAAGCATTGCACAAGATTTTGTATGAAAAATCCCAGCATGTATGCCCGTGCAATTCTATTTATGTCCACTTAACTGAGGTAACGAGCACTTTGGATTTTGAGAGCTGCTTGCTTCATTATGGTGATAACAGTATGAACATTCAAAGCTGTGCACGAAAATGACCTAGATTTTAAGGCTGATTGTGATGAAAATGGTATTCCTCGAATTGTGTGAGTTAGCTATCAAACATAGATTAATATCACGAAACCTTATTTAATGCAATTTTTGCGAGTTGTGAAAGAATGTCATTTGGTCATTCAGAGCTAAAATGGATTATATATTACATAAAATAATGTCTCACAACAAATAACCAAGATGACAAGGGTTTGTGGAAATAATTTGGGATCATTTTTGAGTCACTTTTTCAAAATATATTGGGTTCTCATACTTGATAAACTTTGTGATTTTCATGTTGAGATTATTTTTATCTTGGCAATCAGGGTCAGGCACGTTTATATGAAAATCATGCAGCCTAGAAACTACGTAGACCGAAGTAGACAATAGATAAATTATTATCCATGCCTAAAGCATTGATATAGATGATAAATATAATGAAACTCAATCTGATCAGAAAGAAAATATTTTAATGCATCACAATCGGCGATATAAAAAATTATTGTAGAATGAAAGTGTCCAGGTTGGACAGAGGACACATTGTTTTTCAGCATTGTGGTTCCATTTCATATTTGTTTTTTTTTCTGCTTCTCTACTTGCTTCCGAGGCATGCTTCTGAATCCGTGACCTCAAAATTCCCGTCCATTGGGAGTACTCTCATACACACACGCACACAGATGCGAGCATTCCGGTAATTTTATTCTGTTTGCCAAAACTTGCAGGTGTCGACTGAATCCCGAGGAGAGTGATATGTACGAATCCGAAAAGAATCAATCTGTACTGGGCTATGAATGGATGTGTGGTCCTGGTTATCCAGGAGAAGAAATTAGCAAAATTGTGACGACAGTGCCCTACCAGAGCACTCACATATCCGATAGCTTGCAGATCGAGGCGTAGGTGAAATTTCACACGAAGCCGTTAGCGTTATTGATCTAACTTGTGGTATGAGATTGATAAGCAATTTCGAGAGCTATGGCTCTATATGCTAACAAGGAGGGTTCAGTCACTAAAGCCCGTAGTCACCACAGATCCGGCAGACCTAGATATGCACTGGAATATAAAAGATGGTAGTTTTGGGGGTTGAAACAGCTAGTGAAATATTTTCGTATGTTCATGGCCACTGATAGAGATTGTTTATTTTGAATGAATTCATAATAAACCATTAGAGAGAATCTGGGTAGTTCAAAATAAATCTCCAAAAAGAAATTCGATAATAACACAAGTCTCTGCAAGAAAATATAAGGGACTATAGTAAAACCCGGCTTGCAGTGAGCTTGAAAGTTTGATATTCATGTTGTGACTAACCCGTCACCCCATCCATTCTCCCTCAGAGATATAAAATTCTGCGTTCCCTACATGCACACAAGCTGATTCTGAAAATATCCATATTTCTATCCACAGACAGTATGCCAAACACGCACTTCTCAGTTGATGCAAACAACACAGGTTTCATTGTACGATGGCATTCTCAACAGCCGATAATCATATCATACAAGAATAGTGTCGATGGAAACGGAAAGGAGTTCTCATTGGCACGGGATACAGGTCGGTGCAGACTGACTCTGTTTGACTTGAATCCATGCACTCCGTACATATTTGAGGGTCGCTTTGTTGGTGAAGCCGACAATATTCCGTGGCAAAGAATCACCGTGGTGACAGAACCGGAAGGTACGTTTCTTTTCAGACATCACCCGGGGTTATTTGTAACTAACAGACTGAATCCTCATCATCAAACTTATTCCATTAGAGCTATACAGTCTCCGATAGAATTGAATCAAAAGTGGATCAGGAAAGTTTGGAAATTATTATTTCTGATCATTTGATTACGGTTGCTTACATTTACCAATATAACAATTTTTTTATATTGCTTCCTCCTGACGTATGAACAGGACGGATAACTACTTGGGTTCGGCCCATCAAAATTTGGTTAGATACGCGCGTTGCGAGTGAGTGTGTGACATTATGGAGCGAATCAACCTTCAACCGTTCAATCCATAAAATAATAAAATTGTTTATAATTTTTAATTGGAAGAAGATAATCTTCCGAATATACCATCATTAAACAAGAAAACACATAGGAGCAAACAAGCTCGTTTCCGGTTAATTCTTCTACAGGCTAATACATCACAATTTATTTTAAACTGTTTTGTAGAGGAGAGCAATCGTGATAAGCTGGAAAAGAAATAATCAACATTCCAGTTGCATGGCCTGATGTTGCTCACCTTTTGGCCCTTTTACATGCGCACCAGTTGGGGTCATTGGGAGTGGGTGGAGAGATGGTTGTGTGGTGTGTGATGTTGGCCATGGAAGACCGAGTATTATTACGCATTGTTTTGGAAGCATATGACGGGGATTATGTAGCCGGATTTTTAACCGCTTCTGTTGTGGCTAGACTGCGGCTTCTATTCCTCTTAGATCGACTGCTGCAAACTCTGTTGAGGGGTCGAAACGCTTTGATCACATTAACTACATGGTTGGATTCCACTAGGTGTGAAATGATTGAGCTGTTGGCAGTCTTAATTACTGCACCATTCAACCAGGTCGACTGGTGCTGAAGGACTCTTTCATGGATACATTTCTATTGTCCGCCGTTTGTGATTTTGAGGCTAAATATGTCTAAAACGTTCCTGGTTAATGTTCGGTCAATGTATGGATACGGTTCACGAGTTACAAACTGAAACTTCTGCACTATTCATCTTCGGGATGAATGCGCAGAAAATAAGGTACATAAATCAGTGATTGTTTGTGGTCCAGCGGTAAAGATCACTAAAGATCACCACCTGATGCCTCAACTACAGTGCGATTGCTCCGTCATTTACCATCGTCTCGTCTCTCTCGCCCGTGACCTTGAACAAATGAATTCCCTCTGACCCTTTCTGTGATATGACTGTATCGTATTCCGTGATCTGTGGCGT